GGGACAAGGGACTGCCAAAAAAGCTGACCCTCCATTTACCATGGAAGGTCCACTTTAACAGAATGGAGGAAGGCTAGAACCTCATGTAGCTTATAATCTCTGTCTGTGTCTCCATTGCAGATTACACCCTCACCTCCTACCACATTGACAACATTGCCACCAGTACAAATCAATGGGCCTCCGACGCATCAAATAATGAGCAGGTCACAAAAATTGTGCTGCAATGTACTATGGTGCACAGCCATGCGTTGCAGCATGTTGCCCTATTACGCTGGGGTGCTGTTCAAAATGAATGGCTCCCAAATGCAGCAACACTCTCAACATGCACCGTGCCATCGCATACATTGGCTCTGATAAAATGTATTCTTTATTTTAAAAACCGCAGAAAAACCTGTCGGCCATTGCACCCAGAGGATATCATGAATGTTGTCAGCCTGCGCTGTACACCAAGAGCTACAGAATGTCCTCTATAGCAAACCGCATTACAATACCTGGAGGGTGTCCAATAGAAATGTTTATCTAAGAGGTAATACAAGTAAAGCTAAATCATACAATCTTCACCTACACCAAAACAAGCAGCGGTTGCATGGCAACTAAACTTATCGCAATGGTTGTACAACGGTTTCAAATCTTGAGGATCAAAGTATATTATTGTTGTGATTACTATTGTTAGTTATATCATTATAGAAGTTCTGTATGGGCGCCAGGCCCTCAACATCCTTCGATACCCCTGGAAGATGGTGCTCTTCCCCGTTCCAGAATCGGGCCCAGGCCCTCAATATCCTCATGTACCTCTGGCAGCCGGCGCTCTTCCCGGCTCCAGGATTGGGCCCAGGCCCTCAACATCCTTAGATACACCCGGAAGATGGTGCTCTTCCCCGTTCCAGGATTGGGCACAGGCCCTCAATATCCTCATGTACCTCTGGCAGCTGGTGCTCTTCCCGGCTCCAGGATTGGGCCCAGGCCCTCAACATCCTTAGATACCCCCGGAAGATGGTGCTCTTCCCCACTCCAGGATTGGGCCCAGGCCCTCAATATCCCCATGTACACCTGGCAGCTGGTGCTCTTCCCGGCTCCAGGATTGGGCCCAGGCCCTGAACATCCTTAGATACCCCTGGAAGATGGTGCTCTTCCCCGCTCCAGGATTGGGCCCAAGCCCTCAAAATCCTTGTGTACCCCTGGCAGCTAGTGCTTTTCCCCGCTCCAGGATTGGGCCAAGGCCCTCAATATCCTCGTGTACCCCAGGCAGCCAGTTCTCTTCTCTGGGATGGAAGCCAGCCCCATGACATTCTCACAAACCCCTGGCAGCTGTGGGGGCTGCTCATTATTCCACAATGGAGGCTGAGCCATCAACATCTTCACATACCCCTGGCAGTCGGTGCTCATGTACCCCTGGTAGCCGGTGTTCTGTGCAGCTCCGGGATTGGGGGCTGAGCCCACAACATCCTCACATACCACTGGCAGCTGTGCTCTTCACCTCTCCAGGATGGGGGCTGTGCCCTTGACATCCTCATGTACCCCAAGTAGTATGTGCTCCCCGCCACTCCAGGATGGGGGCCGTGCCCCCAACATCCTTATGTGCCCCTGGTGGGTGCTCTTTGCTGATCTGGAATAGGGGCTGTGCCCTGAACATCTTACTGTACCCTGGTGGTCGGTGCTCTTTGCTTATCTGGGATGGGGGCCGTGCCCTCGACATTCTCACGTACTCCTGGCAGCTTTTGCTCTTCATAGGTCCAGGATGGGGGCCGTGCCCTCGACATCCTTATGTACCCCAGGCAGCCGGTGCTTTTCACCACTCCAGCAACGTTTCACATACCCCTGACAGCTGTTGCTCTTCCCAGCTCCGAGATGGGGACCCGGCCCTTAACATCCATATGTACAATGCGGGACCACAGGACCTACATTAAGGACGGGCCCTGTCGCCGGGAGGAAGCCTGCGGGAGCAGAAAATAAGCATTGTTGCCTATACCTCAACCCTTAAGACACACAAAACCCTTGCAGTGCACAGGGGGAAACCAATACAAAGGGTTCACTTTTCTTTTCCACTTTGAGGAAACCTGTCATGAGAAATGAATGGAAGCCGCCATTGCTGACGTTTCCATCTGAGAACACTCGCTGACTGCCTGTCATGCCGACATTTATGCAAATAATCACTTCTGACCTTTCAGACCCACAAGGAAAAAGCTCAAGTTCATTTCTCTTTAAGGGAGTGAAGAGCGAAGAGGAAAAAACAAGCAAAGAAACGCAGCTCATCCATCACAGAAATGAGAACGCACAATGCGATGTCCCGTGACACATATGAACATGCCGTGTAACCCACAGGATCATACACAGAAGCCTGAGCAGGCCCAGACAGCAATCACAGCTCCAGTATTATCATCTCTCCCGTGTCCCTCACTTTATTCTACTTTCACTTTCCATTCTGCACACATCCTCTGCTCATATCAGCTTTCCTAGCAACTGTATAATACAGGGGCACTCCAGCTGTGGTGAAACTACAAATCCCATCATGCATCTGCCTCTGGGAGTCACACTCGTGGTTGTCAGAGTCTTGCAATGAATCATGGGATTCGTAGTTCCACAACAGCTGGAGTACCGAGGTTGCCTACCACTGGATCCCAACTCATCGCTAGATCCCTACTCGTCCCTCGAAATCTGAAACTACAGGCCCATTCACAGCACTGCACTATGGCAACGCACGTGTTACAGCAACACATCATAACGCACGCTACATATGTTGTCATTCACTGTGAATGGCCCAGTAAACACACCTTCTAAATGCATGTGTGCTTTATACACTGCAGCACAGCACAACGCATAATGTCCGGCGCATTGCGCTGTGGGAAAATGCAGCCTGCCCCTTTGGGCTTCGTTTTAGCCGTCATTTTAATGGTGTGTCCAGTGAAAGTAAACACATGACTGCTCATGCGTGTATACACCGTACCCATGAGGTGTAACCTTAAAGTGTATGTACACCCGAACAATCACCTTCTGCCTTTTGGTCTGTTAAATACATTATTCAAAGCCGCTCGTTATATTAGAAGTGCAAAAAAATACAACGTACTGTACATCACCTCAAATACACTATATACTGTACTATACGTCACCTCTATATCCTCTATAATGTACTCTACTTCACATGTATACACTATATATTGTACTATACGTCACCTGTATATACTATATAATGTACTGTACTTCACCTGTATATACTATATAATGTACATCACCTCAAATACAATATATACTGTACTATACGTCACCTCTTTATCCTATATAATGTACTGTACGCCACCTGTATATCCTATATAATGTACTCTACTTCACATGTATACACTATATATTGTACTGTACATAACCTCTATATCCTATATAATGTACTGTACGCCACCTGTATATCCTATATAATGTACTCTACTTCACATGTATACACTATATATTGTACTATACGTCACCTGTATATACTATATAATGTACATCACCTCAAATACACTATATACTGTACTATACGCCACCTGTATACACTATATATTGTACTGTACGTCACCTCTATAATGTACTGTACGTCACCTGTATATACTATATAATGTACTGTACGTCACCTGTATACACTATATATTGTACTGTACGTCACCTCTATATCCTATATAATGTACTGTACGTCACCTGTATATACTATATAATGTACTGTACGTCACCTGTATACACTATATATTGTACTGTACGTCACCTGCATACACTATTGTACTGTACATCACCTGTATACACTATATATTGTACTGTACTTCACGTGTATACACTATATATTGTACTTCACGTGTATACACTATATATTCTACTGTACGTCACCTGTATACACTATTGTACTGTACGTCACCTCTATCTACTATATGCTGTATGTCACCTGTATACACTATATAACGTACTGCACGTCACCTGTATACACTATATGCTGCACGTCACCTGTATACACTATATAACGTACTGCACGTCACCTGTATACACTATATGCTGCACGTCACCTGTATACACTATATAACGTACTGCACGTCACCTGTATACACTATATGCTGCACGTCACCTGTATACACTATATATAGTACTGGGTGCAATATGTATATACGCATGTATAAAAACATAACATGTGACATATTAACAACAACAAGCATATCCTATATGATGTACTATGAATTGTATGTATATCGTATGTAATAATGCCGTAGGCAAACAATCTATAACTGATGGGAACATACTTCATCATATGTATATCCTATAGACACATAACCGGTGACAGAGTAACATTACATGTACACACACATCATATGTATATACCACACAGACATATTACATGGAAAATCCTGTACATATCACATGTAAACATGGCCAAAGATTTATTATGATGTCACGTGCAGACATAAGTGATCACAGTACCGTTATGACACACGTTACATGTACATCCTACATATAATATAGATATGACTTGTATAAATTAGATGTACATCAAGTGATTATCACTATATAAGGAATGATGATAGATTTCACAATTCATATCTTATGTGTATATATTGTGTAAGCACAACCTACATCTGTTATGATGTACACCATGTGTATAGCACCTATGTAAACATAACCTGTCATGTGTACCGCCTATGTAATATCAACTCATATACATTTAGTATGATGTAGACATGTATCATGCTGACATGACCTATGACAGATTTATCATGCAGTGTATATGTATTGTAGACTATGACAGTCCCTGTGTGATGGTCATCCTGCTTTGTAGACATGACCGGTTACAGACTTACAGTGATGTCCTGTGTGTATATCCCAGGCACACATACTCTGGTATACAATTACACTTATTATACTCTATGTAGTAGATCAGCCAACAACACGGTGCAGGGACAACACATTGCTTTGACATGTATGTACAATGTACATCGTGCAGATCCGGCACACACACAAATGGTACATTCCCCTCCCCATCGTACACTCACAGTGTGGGACTGCAGGTTCTGGCTGGCCTCTATGACGCCTGTGAGCGGCATTGTATCATCCAGATACAGCTTATTGGACGGCGGCTTATCCATGAACGCCATCCCGGCAGTAGCACCGAGACAACCCTACTGAACGCAGGCCCGGCCACTCATGGGGGGCGTCTCCAGTGACTGTGGGTGGGGCCATCGTGACATGCGGGGCGTGTCCTGAGTCAGTGTCACGAGGAAGCGGGGCGTGACTTGCCACAGGGGCGGCCACGGGAGGGATGAGCTTTCTCTTTTTTTCTGGGTCCTAGAGAGAGTGTTCCGTGCAGAGTAGAGATGTGCAAAATGGTTCATCTGCATGAGTGCTCCTCAACGGATCGCTCACTGAAAAGATCCGGATCTTTTAAACGGCTCATGGTTCACTAAACTGCTCTTTTTACTATAGTCGGAGAGGAAATGAGACGGGGGTGTAGTTTGAGGGAGGGGACGAGATATATTTTAATATTTTAAAAGTAAAACCATTGCTTGTCTGTTATGCAGAACCAGCTATGCGGGACTACAAGTCCCAGCAATAAATTATAATAAGAGTCGGCTATGCAGAATACCACCAGCACCCCCCCATTATAATGTATTGCTGGGACTTGTAGTCCTACATATTTGGTGCTATTCTGCATTGCTGGGAGGGTTCTCACTCTAACATGATATTACAGGAGCCGCTCTTGCCTCACTCTCTGCTTCTACATTCCATCCACAGAGCACAGACCAGAAGAACCGTAGCTCATTTTTACTGAGCCACCGCTCTTTCATTCTTCTGAGGGAGCCGCTCAATAGAACCGGAAGTAGGAGGAAATCTCACACCATTTAATTGACTGCAATGGAGCGCCCAGTCATGCTTGTACAAGCAAATTTTGAACAGCATGTTGCAGATGCCGCTTGCCCAACATGACATGCTGTTTAAAATTTGCTGCACTGCAAAGCAGTGAACCCGTGGCACGTGTACTAGCATGAGTGGACACTATATTAAGTTTTAGGTGGGAGGGGTTTTTACCTGGGCTGCCCATGTGAACGAGGCCTTTGTGCTATATGCAGGACGTGTCACTTCTGCAGTAATCATTGCTATGTAAAGATAAATGTCACTTAGCAGTAGATACCGCTTGTAGGCCCAGATCAAGTGTGGCGTACAGCGGTGGGTGCTCCAGCCTCACGCAGGGTTCATCCCACATTCAGCAACAACAATAATAAAACGAAAAGAAAGGATAGATTGCAAGACTGATGACTTCCAAACTGTGAAACTTTATTGATCCATTGGCATACCCTCCTGCCAGACACATGCTTCCTGATGCATTTTTTCCCTGGTAAAGTACAAATTGTAGAGGTGTATGATAAAGCCCTATACCAGGATGAAATGCGCCAGTGGAGGAGACTGTGGCGGAAGGTACGATGATGGGTGGCGTGGCTTACCCTTTTGTTTTTATCATCCTTATGCATCACGAACATGCTGCTCACCTCTGCTCTTTTATACAAGTCCCGGACCCATAAAGGAGTTCTTGTGGCGAGATCTGTGACTGGTGCTCACTGACCATTCTCTGTCCGCAGGCACAAAATAAAAATCAAATGAAACCTGTGGCAGGATGGATGCTGATGGCCTGAAAATGCTGTTTGCCTGGCTGTCTCTGCTTTCAGTACTATTTAAACTTGAACCAAGGATCAGCAATGGCACCCACCATATTTCCTCCACAACAGGTTTCCTTTAACCCTTTCACTGCCAGGTCCCTGCGCTCCACTTTTTCCAGGTGGTCAGACCATTTTTTACATCTTTAAAAGAGAAGTAAAGCCAAACTTTTTTTTTGGCTTTAGTCCTCTTTTGAGCCAAAGGAGTATGTTTACAAATGTACTCCTGTGACCTAAAGTCAGCATACAGCGGGCTACTGCCAGTTATTTGCTGATAGCACAGAGCCGCCCTGCAGCCAGAACAGATCCCAACAATATTGTCAGCATCCACCCGACTGCCTGATTGACAGCAGGATCTGCATCTCTAAAGGCAGAGCCCCGCCCCCTCCCCTGGCTGTCTCTCCTATGAGTCACTACTCTCTGCAGGGAGAAGACCGTGAGCTGAGTGATCAGCAGTTTGTGATCACTGAGCTCTCTGTCTACCGCTCTCTGGCTCTCTGCCGGTATGTGTTCGCTCACCTCCCGATCTACTGAGCCGACCTGTGACAGTCTCATTGTCACAGGTCGGCTAGAACTATGAGGTGAGTGAAAATCACTCACCTCATAGTTCTCCTTTAAGCTTAAAATCTGGAGGCTGGCTTCACAGCAATGCATTGTGGTAATTGCGGGAATGTTCAATGTGCAATGCCATGTGTGCGCTGCCATAAATTGATGCAGGCGTACATTGTTATGCAACAAATAAAATCATATTATCAATATTCAAAATCATATTATATACTGAATATTATCAGTCTTCAGTATATAATTTAGTAAAAAAGTATATATCAAGCCCTGCCCTGTATTGTAAAACAGCAGCACATACACTAGCGCACCTAATGTACACCATAATACAGTATGTGGCCACTGGTGTGAATGGGCCCTTAGTGTGTTGGTGCACTGCATTGCAGCAACATAATAGAAGTCACCAGCACTCGATAATATGTGCAAGAAGTAAAGCACTTTTTATTCAATCGTCACATGCGTCAAACAGCCAACGTTCCAGGGCCACGCAGGGTCCCTTCTTCTGGGTACCCAGAAGAAGGGACCCTGCGTGGCCCCGAAACGTTGGCTGTTTGACACATGTGACGATTGAATAAAAAGTGCTTTACTTCTTGCACATATTATCGAGTGCTGGTGACTTCTATTATGGACTGTATCTGACACGGCGCCATCCGTGTTGTCACTTCAAACACCAACCTCTTACTCAAGGTCTGTACGCTGAATGGAGTGCAGGTGATTTTGTATTATCGATTGCATTACAGCAACAGACGTAACGTGCATTACCACAATGTGTGTTGTTCACGTGTACGTTATGTGCATATGTCATTTTTTTTGTGCTGATTTTTCACTTTTGAGTTAGAGAAAGATTTAGGAAACAAGTCCTCAATCTACTTCTCTTCACTCACCAACACTGAAAATGGAAGTGCTCAGCACAGTGCTTTCTGTTCATTCACAAACTGAAGAGCTAGTAAATATGAATGGTATGTTTACTATCCCTTCAGATAGGCATGAACCATGGCGCGCTTAGCACTGAGCATTCCTGTGTTTACTGAACGTGGAGATGAAAAGACAATGTTCCTTTCCTAGGAGCAACAAATTGTTGCTGGTAGACTGCATTGGTCAGGTATTTCAGGGAAAGCTGGTTAAAATTCCCTGAAAATTGCAGCACGTGGCAAGTAAAAGTGTCAGCCAGAAAAAATAATCTAATTTCTTTAATTTTTTTCTGCTACCCCTCAAAAATATTACTGCTCATGTCTATGGACCTTTGTAAAGGAGTTCTATTTACCTGTTCCCCCACTCCCACTGGTTCCAAGATTGGTGCCCGCAGCCTCCTCACCCTTTTGCGGCAGTTGGTGACCCGCTGAGGAACAGTCTACAAGCCGGAGAAGAGAGAGAAAAGGGAGCGCCAACTGCCAGGGTCATCGTTCTGTATGGTTGTTTCTCCTGCACTCCTTACAGTGTTTGGAACCAATAACCAATGCGGTGCTTGCAGTGATGAACACAGATGGCGCCGTGTGTCTTCAGGTTCAGAGAAATAAAAAATCACCAGCACTCAGAAACGATCATCGTGTCACTGTCGCCCTGATGAAGGGACCCTGTCTGGCCCCGAACCGTTAGCTTTTCTGATACATGCGACATCAATAAATGATCGCCAAGATCTAAAAACAATATTTTCTGAGTGCTGGCGATTTTCCATTTCTTTGAACTACCAGGGTCAGGTAAGTAAAAGTCCTCTTCACCATACCCGTAGACATATATGAGCAGTTAACCCTTGTAGTGCGGTGGTAGCCCCACTGCAGGGGTAGTTTGTTTGTTTTTTTACCCGGAGATAGACTTTAAACTGTATATATACTGTATATATAGACAAAACATTCTTTTCTGCAGTGATGGCTGCATGGCATTTCTCGGCAGCTTTCCTGACGGTGACAACAGTGGACCATGTCTGTGCAATGTGTGTTGAAATGGCCACATGTAGTCTCTATTGGAGCCGCTGGTGACAGGTGCACTACTGAGTCAGATATAGAGCATTTTCACCCTGCAACAGGAAGTGTCTGAACAAGAACCTTTAAAGGAGAACTATGGGGTCAGGGCTTTTCCCCATAGTTCTCCTAAGGGTCAAGGGAGAACACAAACTAGCGTCCTCCCATGACCCAAAGCTCAGTATACTCCCAGCTCGCGGTATACTGAGACGCCGCAGCCGGAACGGATCCTGACATTGCTGTCGAGATCCACCCAGCTGCGGGATTGACAGCTGGCTCTGCCTATCCAGAAGCAGAGCCAGCTGTGCCCTCCCCCGTCCGTTCCGCCAGTCAGCGCTGGAGGATTGGACAGGGGAGGGGGGGAATCCCTGCAGGGAGCCATGAGTGACAGTCACGGCTCTCTGCAGGGCTGGATCGAGAAGTGAGCGACGGTATGTGTTCGCTCACTTCCCGATCTACTGAGCCGACCTGTGACAGTTTCATTGTCACAGGTCGGCTCAGATTATGAGGCTGAGTGAAAATCACTCGCCTCATAATTCTCCTCCAAGGCAGAATTACCAGGTGTTAATTCAAAGAATAACTTACATGGGGCGTGGCCAAGCAATGGAGCAGTAGAGTCGCGTGTGTGCTTTTACTTGCTTGAAAACTGAAAATAAAGAATTTAAAAAAAAAAGAATAACTTACATGACCACGTTAAAGCTTATATGAGAAATTAGTGATTGGGTTTACATCTACTTTATTTCTGAATGGTCACACAATGCTGCCCAATGTCACCACCAAGTGGAGCAGCAAATAAAATCTGCAATCACAACTCTCTATGGCTAAAAAACAGACAAACTGAGGTTCGCATCCAAACTAATGGACAAATTGTAGCTTTGTCCTTATGTGTTTCGCTGCTCATTTGCATAACAGCTTCGGAATCAATCTTCAGGAACAAGAACTTTTACAGTCCCCTCCATTACAGTCCTCCCACTTTGTGTTGCAACACAAGACACACTAATAAAAGCCAAGGATTTCTTCAAAGTCTTAACCTGGGCTCTTGCTACAACCTCCTCCCCAGCATGAAGTGGAGCTGGAAAGCGGATGTCCTGGGAGAGAAGCACACAGCCTTCTCCTGGTAGTTTAGTGCCCAAGACTGCAGACACAAGGCCGTTAAGGAGAACACCATGAACAACAGGCTTCCCAAATCTTGTGTCCTTAGCAAATTTCTCATCCAGGTGCAGTGGGTTTGTATCCCCGGTAAGTTCAGAGAACAGAATGACGTCCTTTTGAGTGAAGGTCCTGAAGAGCTCGGCGGCATCTCCAACCTGCAGGTGTAATGGCCGCCATGACGCTAAGTTCTTGTACCACCTGGAAGAAAATGGACTGCTGGAAGTACCAAGTATTGTTCCTCGGTAGACAAAGTGACGGAACATCTTTCAAAAATATCTAGTCAAGATCCAGTTCTCTGCTGTTACCAGCGAGCGCCAACAAGAAGGGAGAGACCTATGTATTAAAACAAAACAAAAATTACTATTTTTACTTCATGATCAACATGAATCGCATGATCAGTAAGTCTTTATATTGTATATGTTCATTAGAGCTAGCATGCCAAGGTGGCATCCCATAAGCTTACTAGCTTAGTACTCATTTCCAAAGCTGGGTGAGATCCTGCACTGACAAGAATTCTGGGGGACCCTCTTGCTCACAGTGAGGCCCAGAAAGCCCAGCCCAAAGTCAGAAGTGGACCCCCAAAAGAAAAAGCCAACTGTGATGCTGCTTTTTTCCTGGATAGTAGGGATACACAATAAAACAGACCAGGAGGTCGGGGGGGGGCTTTACACCATTTTTTGGTCTGCTCTTTCCTGTATAGATGAAGGAACCAATCATCTCTGGGTCGCACAATGGCTTAGTGGCTAGTACATTTGCATCTGTGCCTGCATGGGTTTCCTCTTGATACACTGGTTAGCCCACACACTCCAAAGATATTCTGATAGGTCATCTGGTTCCCATCTAAATTGGCCCTAGTATGTATGTCAGACCGGGACCTTAGACTGCAAGCTCCATGAGGCCAGGGATTGATGTGACTCTACAGTAAGTAAATTGTTTAAAGTGCCTGCGGCACACCATACACTGTTGTGACCAGTGTAGATAAGACAGGTGCTCATAGTGACAGCCACAGATGGTGCCGTGCAGAACCTCAAAGACGTCCGATATAGACCTGGCAATTTACACAGCCCTTTACATACTGTACAGTGATGTGAAGATAGGACACCAGCCCTCAAATGCAAGTAAAACATTTTTTAAATAATGTCACACAGGTCAAAACAGAAGGTCTGAAACAACTAATCGACAAAGTTGATAATAATCGATAATGAAAATTCTTGTCAACGATTTTTATGATCTATTAGTTGGTCAAACAGCAAAAAGTTTTCCCAGCACACACAAGCCAGCATGCAAAAAAACCTGTCTCACCGCTAAGGTTAAAAACAGAGGTTTAGTTACACGTCTTCTGCAGAAAACGTGAAAGCCGCATCAAGGCACCTCTAAATAGTGCGGTCCTAACTCTAAACTATGAGAGTCTCTATCTTGGAGCACATGTGGCAAAAGATAAAATTGGGCGCAGGTTTGTCAGGAGGAAGCCCAACTTTCCTTAAAAGGCATAGGGATGCACAAAGGATCCCGCACATCACAACGGCTTTGAATGCTGGCTTGTGAGTGTGCCGGGAAAACTTTTTGCTGTTTTACTGTATAAGGCCCTTCCATGTGCACCTTGCTGTAAAGCCGGTAACAAGTTGATGAGTGCGTTTGCCATTTGTTTTGCTATTAGTTGGTTAGTCGATTAGTTGGTCTGCTTGCAGCTCCTCATAACCTCCCCCTCCCTGCCTCACCCGCATGCATGTGTTTGACGAGCCAGGCCATCCCCGGGAAAAGTGTTGAAGAGTCCCAGCGAACGCCCGAGTGCGGACTGACCGTTCAGGCACTGCCCGAGGACCCGCGGCCTCCCCCATGTGTATTATGTGGTGTGTGTGTGCATTATGTGTTGTATGTGTACTGTGAACTGTGTGTGTATTATGTGTTGTATGTGTACTGTGTGTGTATTATGTGGTGTGTGTATAAATGTAGTGAGTGGAATCAGTGGCGTAACAACTGGGGGGAGGGGGAAAGGGGGCGCCGGCCAGTCAGTGAACACAATTAGGCCTGTGAAGCCCATGACACACTGCATGCGAAGCCACACACAACAAAAGGGAAGTGGCGGTGTTCACACCGCCACTGCAGCGGGTCTAGCAATATCCTCTCCCTAGATGAGCGCGGCGAAATGAAAAATGTCTTCTCTAACCAATTGGCTCATACGTTTGAATCCACGCGTCAGGACACAGATTCAAGTGTGCAGCCAATCGCATTCCCCCAGACAAAAGCGATGGTGAGGGGAGTCCAGGAGAGAAGTCTTCTTGGTAATGTTTTTCTTCCTGTACAAGTTCTTTCTGTGACATATGCTGAGGTTGAGAGCTATGTAGAAACAATGAATATGATCGGTCCATTAAATAAACATTTAATTAAATAATATTATTTAATAATTAAATCAATATTTAATAAATAGTTATTAAATAATTAATATTTAATTATTAAATAAATAATTTATATTAAAAGAAAAATGTTATCCCATAAAAAAAAAAAAAATTATTGGTCAATTAATCAAACATGAAAATAATTGTGAGTTGCAGCCCTAAAAAATAGCCAACATTTTGAGGCCGAGCAGGGTCTGTTCCTCAAAGGACACTGCATCACCCTGAGGAAGGGACCTGCCAGCCTTGTTGGCTATTTTAACCTATGTGATGTTATTTGCAATAAACAACATTTTCCTTGCATTTTGGAGAGCTGGTGCCCGATCGTCACATCTCTGTACAGTATGCAAAGCTCTGTGTTAATTGTCAGCTCTATACATATCTGTCAAGTTAATAAATCTCTCAGCTACTGTCCTGGAAGATGATTGGGAAACGCATTCGTTTTGATGGACTGATCCTTTATCACCCAACGTACACCTTTATAGCTGCACAAAAGTTCCAGTTCCTCTTTAATAACTTTATGAACTTTAACTAAGAAAATGAAACTATAGTAAACAGAATGTTTGTTTCCATTCCAGGAGCACAGAAGGCCACAGAACAGGTCTGTCTAGTATTCACAGTAATACAGTTCACTGGCAGAAGGAAAGACAGCTTGGCTTATATTACCTGTATCACACAGACAGAACAAGCCTGGTTCTGGTACTGTCCCAGGAGAGTCAGAGAAGTCCACAGCTTCACAAATCCACTGCAAGAAAATAATAATATCAACCCAATAAACAATACATGAAGTGTCAGACTGAAAAGACTGATATACAACAATGAGCTGCCTGCAAGCATAACATATGTTCGTAAATGTGAGTTGATATTGGCCTCCTATCCTTACCTGCCCTAAAGCTGGCCACACACCTATAGATTATCTGCAGATTTTCTATGGTCAGATGGGAAAAGTGCAACAGATTCCTCCATCTACACTACACTGTGTGGATGGAGGAATCTCCCACTGGGCCAAGCTTCAGTATCTGGCTAGTCGGCCTCGCTGGCTCTTAGAATACCTGAACAATGCCTGCATCCAATCAGATTGTTCAGGTATTTTGAGAGTCAGTGGGGCCAACCAGCAAGGTACTGCAGCTTAGCCCAGTGGGAGATTCCTCCATATACACAGTGTAGCGTAGATGGAGCAATCTGTTGCACTTTTTCCATCTGACCACAGAAAATCTGCAGATAATCTATAGGTGTATGGCCAGCTTTAGGGCAGGTGAGGATAGGAGGCCAATATCAACTCACATTTACGAACATATGCCTGCTGTGTTTAAAAAGGTATTTATTTATTCAAGGAATATACTACTATATTATTTTTTATTATTTTGCTATGTTCAGATTTATCATACAACACTAAGTGGAGTACTTAAAAAGCAGTGAATGCGACATTCACTGTTGGTAAATCATGGTCTAATATATATGCACCTGGAAAATTCACCTGCAGTGAATGTCCGATTTACTGCTTTTTAAATATGTCCCTATCGGTTAACCCCATAAAGCCTCAGCACCAAAAACACCGGGTGCCTCTGCTGAAAAGAAACAGAACTAGGATCTTAGCAAAGAGCGTAACTGATTCATGAGGCACAACTGAGGCCTTTGCTTTTTTTTATGGGTCATACCTGCTTCTGATTCTCAATATGGCAGACAACGTCTTTTCCTCATATTTTAGCAAGTCTAAAGGACAAGAGGCCCCCACCTAGAAATAAACACAAAGGAGAACTAAGAGGACTAAATATACATTACAATGAAGTAGAAGCAGATGGTTTATACAGAAAGAAAAAATTTTAATGAGATGGTTATGGAGATAGATGTAACAAACATTTATTAATGTAGAATTAGAACCTTTTTATCGATGCCGGTGTAAATACTAGGGATGCACCGATATATCGGCCGCCGAAACATAGTGGCTGAAAATGGCACTTTTGGCATAATGCCGAAAGTGCAATTTTCTGGCCGGTACAGCGGTGCATCCGTACTTTCTCTCCTCCCTGCTGGGTGCTGCTCTGTGCCCAGCGGGGAGAAGATAAACTGTCACAGGCGGGCAAGCGCTGCGGAAGGAGAGTGCTGTGAGCGGCCGGCGTCTCTCCTCCCCACACCGCTCAGCCTCCTATCACAGATCAGAGGAGAGCGGTGTGGGCAGAGACAGCCAGCGCTGTCACAGGAGGCTGAGCTCTCCTCCCGCACCACTCGCTCAGCCTCCTGTGACAGCCGGAAGGAAGGAAGGAGAGCGGGTACAAGCAGACAGTGATCGCTGAGTGTTTATAAATAATTGAGGACAGAGTATGTTCACTATATCCTCAATTATGAATGAATGGGAAGTGATCTATATCACCTCCTGTTCATTCATGATTGTAGTTATAGTAAACACACTCTGTCCTCAAGTTATGAATGAACAGGAACACAGGATTCCTGACCATTGATAAATGGCTGCAGAAAAAGAGATTGGGGACTCTGTGTTCTAAATCTCTTTTTCTATTTTAAAGAGCTCTAAAATAGTGGGTCTGTTTAGGCCCCCAAAGCCCCTGAAAGTAAAGTAAAAAATACAAATATTTAATAAAAAATAAATGAATAAAAAAATATAAAAAAAATTTAAAAAGTTTATAAAAAAATAAATAAAAATAAAATATAAAAATAAATTTGGAAAAGTTTCGGCCTGACATTTTGTTTTATTTCGGTTTTGTTTTTGACATTTTCACTTTGGTGCACCTCTAGTAAATACACAGTTGAAACACGCATATGTGAAATGTCTTATTAGCCAAACAAATCTTAAAAATCAGCCCAGAAACTTTTGCAACTAACACCTCTGCAAGGCGGCACAGTCAGGCGCGTGACACCAATTTCTCTGCAATGTGTTGAGAAATTCAGTGGTGTCACCTCTCGGCCTGCATCCTGCCAACTAGACAATGAAGCAGCAGCACACTTATTAGTCATCAACTCTGCCCACTTTGCTTTCTCTTCCTTTCTGCATGTTCCCTATTAGCACATTTTAGTGTAAAGAGGGGGTTAGAACCTTTTTCCAAGTTTTTATGTTTGTCTATATCCCTACCGGAGGGGATTCACCCCATTTTTCCTGATGGCCACTGTCACCAAGACAGAAAGTGAGAGGAAAATCTAAAACGTCAGGGTTGTCACCAGAACAAGGGCACCTGCTCCTTTGACAATTCAGTTTACTTTGCAGAGATTTCCTCTAATTTCCTGTTGCATCTTCTGGACAGGAAGTAAAGAGAAATATCTCCAAAGGACACAAGCAGCAATAAAATAACCTGATCACCAGAAAACTAATGCAGCCACCACATCTAACAGGTAAGCTGCAATATATAACATCTTTGCTTTTGGTATTAGATACACTTTAAGGGCAATGTGATTAGCATCCATGTGAAATCACTGTTGCGTTAAGGACAATTGGCCACACACAGAGTTCAAGTACAATCGCAGTACGGAGGCTACAGACAGTCAGTCCTACTCTTTTTTTTTGAACCTACTAGCATAGGATGTCCTGCTGCTTTGAAAAGTAATTTTACCATGTAGGGATCCCCGTATCTCAGTTCTCTCTACCATAAAAGTGGACAGAGCATGAAGATCAGATGGTTTTACCATGTAGGGATCCCCGTATCTCAGTTCTCTCTGCCATAAAAGTGGACGGAGTATGAAGATCACATGGTATTACCATGTAGGGATCCCCGTATCTCAGTTTTCTCCACCATAAAAGTGGACAGAGCATGAAGATCAGATGGTATTACCAGGTAGGGATCCCCTGTATCTCAGTTCTCTCTACCATAAAAGTGGACGGAGTATGAAGATCAGATGGTATTACCAGGTAGGGATCCCCTATATCTCAGTTCTCTCTACCATAAAAGTGGACGGAGCATGAAGATCAGATGGTATTACCATGTAGGGATCCCCTGTATCTCAGTTCTCTCTACCATAAAAGTGGACAGAGCATGAAGATCAGATGGTACTTACCTCTCCGTGCAATTCCTTTACAGCAGATACAATCAGAGATTTGTACTGAGCTGCAGTCAGCTTGACACCTTCATGCTGAAATACTCTGCAAACCAAACACAAGCATATGAGTAAAAACGCAGATGACTCTTATACATAGAGTAGCTTGCCTGAGCAACTTACAGCTGAATCTTCAAGTAGTGATACTCGGAGGCGTTCTTCAGCACAGTCCTTTCATGAGAAATTGGTTCCGACGGAATGGGTCGCCCTTTCATGTTTCCACAATACTGTTACTTAAAAGCATAGAGAAATATAAGACTAGTAACATAGTCTCTTATAACAATCTAGATACATAGGCTCTCTTCAGGACCGTCCCTACGATTTTCACCGCCATCGAGGGGGTGGGTGTGGGGGGGAATCAGGTGTGCCCGTCACTCCATTTACAGCCAGAGCGTCCCAGGATGCTAAGAGCAACCTGTGATGTTCTAGCAGGCGTCCCGCCCAGCTCACCAACGTCACTGGTTACCAGGAGCTGAGTGAGATGCCAGCCAGAGCATTCCTCTCAGCTCCTGGCAACCAGTGATGCCAGTGAGTTTGGCGGGACACCAGCCAGAGTTTCACAGGTTGCCAAGATTTCTTAGCAAACTGAGACGCTCTGGCTGGAAACGGGGCGACAGGTGTGGCTCCCCAGTCCAATGAGATGCCTCGCAGGCTGCCTTGTTATAGGGACAGCCCCGGGTCCCTTAAAACAATCTAGTTGCATAGGGTCCCATAAAACAATCTAACAACAACTGGAAGAGCAGTTGTCATCAGGACAGGAAAGACCATAAAAACATTGTTAGTCGTGTTAACCCTTTCCCACTCCAGCCAAAATGTTTTTTCTGGTTTGTGTCCCTGCTTAACAGATAAGTTTACCTTTATTTAATCCTCTGACCCCTCTTCCTCCCCAGTATGAATTGATTGATGATACCTTACTTTTCCAGTCCAGAGATCTTCAGTCTATCCTGTGAAATTGTCCCTACAGACTCCTTTTGTTAGTGCACACACATTCTGTGGCCCTATATATTATTACAGGTGATTCGCAGTTCATAGATCTCACCCCCCTACCCTGCACAGTGCACCAGTCAACAATGCTCACCATCCCTGAGCAGCCTTGTTAATTGGAACACTGTGCAGGGGAGGGGTGTCTGACTTCTGTGTGAGAGCTACATTCTGCATCTACAGTATGCTGCTGCCACAGGACAATATGATAGAGTTCAAAAGACCTAAGACATTAAACACAATCTTTACTTTTTCTGCAGCCTGACTGCGGAAGCATGGCTTCAACTGGGCCATAATGGAAACATGACAGAAGCATGGTGGCTGCCACTGCTTATGTCTCTTTCTAAAAAAAAACGCTAGTGTCCTGGCAGGCTTGTTTTAGAGTCCAGCTCCAGCAATTAGAGAAAATTAAGCACTAAAGTTTATGTCTAGTGAAAATGTTTTTTTTTTTTTTTTCATCTGGATAGAATAAGCAAGGGTTAAATTCCCAGGTAAGGTATTTTTTCACCATCTGTGCGCCACTGAGGAAATTTCCCTTCACTTCTTGTCTCAGAGACACAACAGAGGATTTCCCTTTGCTTTCTTTCTCCATCATAATGGTCACCAGAACAAACAGAGGGATTCATTTCCCTAATATGGGCACAGACAGCATTGAAAACATTACTGATCATCTAACCCTCCCCCACTTTATCCATGTATTTTAAAATTAAAAAATGGTATTGCCTAGAGTTACAATTTGAGTAATCTAGGGAATCCTCAAAACAAAAAAATATATAGTTTTCGCTGCAATATTACCCCGCAGGCTCCTAGTTCTATTCCCCTCCAGGGGATGCTCTTCCAGGTGGAATGACAGCCAGCATCATCCAAACCACTTCCTGTTAGGCAAGGCTGTCATAGACACATCCCTCTGGGGGATGCATCACCCTGCCCTGGGCTCACAGTACTGCAGCACAGAGTGGCACTCACATGTTCTATCTGCTCTAGGGGCTTGAGGTTCGGATTCCACTAACCACAACCAATGACACAGGCATCCTAACCTTCTAATAGACATGACTCTTCCAGGTAAGTTACTTAGAAAGTGCTGAAGCCACAGAGCCAGGCTGTTAGTATTTAACAAGTCAGCAATGGCAGCCCCTGTGTTTTCCCTTATTATGTACCAGCATGTATTTGTGGCTGCATAACACAGGCAACTTACCCTACTATTAGAATCACCAGTATAACCCACGTGTACCCTGCACATGCCAAACCAAGTACACTCACCATCACTCCAAAGCTATAGCTTCCGCACCAAACACTAGAGGAAAGATAGGAGTTTAAAATGTGTTTTCAAAAACGTCTGCGCTGCCGGGTTTGCTGGGCCATGTTGAAGGAGCCCAAAGAACCTCATTCATTGGCTATAATGTCATCCGCAAAATGGCTCCCGAATGGGGACAAAATAGATACTGCACACTTCCTCTATAGACTATATCTTACTGGCGTACGTTTATAACTGCCCCCCTTAGAAACATGTGCACACTCTGCATAGTTCCCATGCAGCAGACAGCTGAAATCATAAAGAAGTAGCTTCCGTTGCAGTTCAATAATCATTATGTTACTGCCACCTAGTGGAACAAAATGGGAATTTACACCAAGGTCAGCACAGTAGGAGGAATTCATAAAAAAAAGTGTCTGAGATAGGTTCTACGGTATATCAACTGCGGCAGTTGCCCATAGCAACCTATCAGCTCCTATTTTTTATATTCTCCACACAATGTAAAATGTAAAAGCTGACTGGCTGACCTTCAGTAGAAAAAAGTTTGCCTCAGACACTTTTAAAAAATTCCCTTCACTGAGGCAAAACAGAAGAATGTGGCATACAAATACACACAAAAATGTATCACATATCAACAGGGCCGGATCTACTCTCTCTGGTGCCCCAAGGCCAGGTTCCTCAATACACCCCGTCAATGAGAGGGGCTTTTATGCGACAGTGCCACTCTCTACTTGCTTTAACGCTGCATGGAAACATCAGCATCTTTTACATGCAGCCTTAAAACCTTTAATCACTGCGGAGCTGCAGGTGATACCCATTTATTTATTAAATAGGCAGCCACTTGCTAAATTGTCAGTCTAATAAATAGATCCCATGAAATCTCTATCACCTCTGCTGTGATTACAGGCTTTAACGCTGCATGTAAAAGATGCTGATGTTTCCATGCAGTGTTAAAGGAGAACTATGAGGTGAGTGCTTTTCACTCACCTCATAGTTCTAGCCGACCTGTGACAATGAGACTGTTACAGGTCGGCTAAGTAGATCGGGAGGTGAGCGAACACATACTGGGTTCGCTCGCCTCTCGATCCTGTCACGGCTCTCTGCCGTGACAGGGGGAGGGGCTGGATTCCCCTCTCCCCGCTCCGATCTGCCAGCGCTGACTGGCGGAACGGACAGGGGAGGGGGCGGGTACAGCTGGCTCTGCCTCTAGATAGGCAGAGCCAGCTGTCACTCACGCAGCTGGGCGGATCCCATCATCTACGTCGGGATCCGCTCCGGCTGCGGCGTCTCAGTATACCGCGAGCTGTAGCTTAGGGTAACGGGAGGACGCTAGTTTGTGTCCTCCCGTTACCCTAAGGAGAACTATGGGGAAAAACACTGACCCCATAGTTCTCCTTTAAAGCAGGGAGTAGAGCAGGGGTCTAGGGGCCCGTTTGCACCATCCTCAGTGCATTCCGGCCCGATTGTGGCCGGAACGCATCGGCTAGCTCACTTTGTTTGTGGGGTGGGAGGGGGTGTGACGGTCCATTGAAGTGAATGGCATGGCAGCCACGCCCTCCGGCCACAATGCGATCGGCAGCACAGGAACGCGTTGAACATCAATGCGTTCCGGTCCAGCATTTTTTCTGACGGGACCGAGCCGGACCGCAGGCATTGATGTGCCTTGCATTCCCGTGCGGCAGATCGCATTAGGGCCAGAGGGCGTGGCTACGGTGCCAGTTCAATGGACCACCACACCCCCTCACACCCCACAACAAATTGAGCCGGCCACAATGAGTTCCAGCCACAATCGAGCCGGAACGCACTGTGTCTGGTGTGAACGGGCCCTCAAACTCAATTCACTCGGGGGCCACAGGACAACTTTTCTTCTCCCATGGGGGCCCCTTGCCAAATTTCATACTTCAAAATAAAATTTAACTATATACGGTACCGGTGTTAGTCTGCCTGTGTTTATAATGTTAGTATATGTGTATGTGATCATTTCTTTGTATGCAATGCCAGTTTATTTTTTGTAATGATTTGTGTGTATTGTCAGGGTTTCTGTGAGTGATGTGGGTATATCTATATGTGTTAATATTTCTGTGTGTGTCATTAGTATGTATACATGTGTGTGTGTGTGTGTGTGTGTGTGTGTGTGTGTTTTTCCCCACAGGTTTTAGTGTAATCATAGAGGACCAACAGATTAACACATTTATTGACACACAGAGAAATACGTACTGTACACAGAGAAATATACACACACACAATCATACACCCTCAACCGAAAATACACGCACTAATACACACACAATAAGGCCACATTCACACCTGTATGTTTAGTTGTAATTAGGGATTTCTAAGTCACAAATTTGTGTTTTCCTGCAGCAGGAATTCCTAATCTGGTGTTTACATGCGGCAGCTGCCACCCATTCAAGTTAATGATCAGGTGACAGCCGCTGTATGTAAACGCCGGCACGCCGCATTTAATGGTATGCAATATGATTATATGCAGTTAGAAAACAGTCACTCTCCCTGGATGCCTTAATCGTGCATCCAGGGATAGTGATTGATTCCTACCCACATGTAATCATATCACATAGCATTACATGCGGTGTTCAAGCGTTTACATGCAACAGCTGTCACCTGATCAATAATTTGAACAGCTGCCGCTTTAAAACGTCAGATTAGGGATTCCTGCTGCAGGAAGATGCAAATTCCTGACACAGAAATCCCTAATCACACCGGAATGGGATGTATTAGGTCCCATTCACACCTGTGAATGGGACCTAATACATACATACTGTATATACACACACACAGAAATACATCCCCACCTCTACTCCCTGCCGGCCTTGTGGGGAATCCGGCCCTGCATATCAATGTAAAATGTATTATTAAAAATATTTCATTTCCATGTTTGCTCAATTTTCACGTTTTGCTGTGATGTTATATCTGGAAGGAGAAGAGACTAGCACGCTGTCACCATTCTCTCGCTTGCGGTGGACACTTGTGGTGCTGTTTCCATCCTGCGTCTGCCTGTGGGATTCCTTTATGACATTTTGTAATGCTTATGACTTTGCCTCCTTCTGGCATAATTGTGGGTGCATCTTTTATATTTATTTTTTATTAATACATTTGTCATTGGTATACTACACCATGGCAGTGTTTGCGCCATTCTCTTTTGTTTAGTAGAAACTCTTTGTTTAGTAAAAATCTTATTAGATTTTGCCAGGAGCGTCCCGTCCTCTTATGTTAGAATTGGCTGCACCACCCCCTTAGATCAATATTCCCTATAATTTAATTAGCTTCTCAGACTACCTCCTCCATTTCTCATCATGTATTTATTATTGCTACTATTGTATGTGAGCATTTTTTATTTCTTGCGACTAACGTTTTATAAAGGATACATTTTACTTTTCCCAAAAGCTCTCCCCTTACCTGAGTATCACAGTTTTTGTCTTTTTGTTTATAATACATTTCAATCATATTTTCACTCCTTACATCTTAGAAGAACATTGAAATATAGCAGTATACACTTCATTAGAATCTTATTTAATTGGTTTAAATTTGCATTTTATATCAAAATAAAAATATATAAAATATAAAAATATGGGGGACTGGATGGAGGCCTTTATGATTAAGCCGTGAAGGAGAAATGCATGAGTGGTTTGGCAGGCATGGAGGGGCATTATACAGTGTGTTATTGATATCCACAATAAAGTTTTGTGTACTTCGTTGAGGATCCGAAGTACACAAAGGATCTCTTCTGTGTGATCCAGGCGGTGGTGAGCCTGCTTGTCCAGCACTCGGGATTGGATCGTGTTGCTCAGCTGCCCACGGAATTTGGAGCGGTGTTGCGTTTCTGTTAACCTTTTCAAACATTTATAATATTTACATTAATGTTTTTTTTTTAACAGAGCACCGAGGAAGAAGAAATGTGAACAGTTAAAGGGAAAGTCCACCTTTAAAAAAAAAAAAAAGGAATAAATGCACAAAGATTCATGAAAGAAAAAAAAAAATGTGTATTTATTTATTTATTTTTGCATTGGAGACATTAAAGCATTGCAACTGTGATTAGTGGAGTGTGGGTGCAATGCTTCACCTCCTCCAGACTCTTCCTCTTATCCATGACCACCAATGTAAGGGGGGATTCTACACTGACCACCAATGTAAGGGGGGATTCTACACTGACCACCAATGTAAGGGGGGATTCTACACTGACCATCAATGTAAGGGGATTTCTACACTGACCACCAATGTAAGGGGGGGATTCTACACTGACCACCAATGTAAGGGGGGATTCTACACTGACCACCAATGTAAGGGGGAATTCTGACAGGGCTTGCTGGATGCACAGCTAAAAAAGGTGTCCCTGGAAATGTTTCCAACTATGCTCTAGTAGTCCCAAAACAAGTACACTCACCATCACTTCAAATGTACAGATTTCACACCAAACTGGTTTACATGTCTTCTGAAAACCATCTGCACCTTGGGAGTTTGAGGGTCTGCGGGGTCCAAAGCAACTGCCATGTTTAAGAAGATCAAAGAACCTCATGCACTGGCTACAATGTCATCCACAAAATAGCTTCAGAATGGGGACAAAATAGGAACTGCACATGACTTCTACAGACTACATCATGAAGGTGCATTTTTTTAACTGCCCCCTTAGAAACTCTGACATACTTTGCATGGTTCCTACACAGCAGCCAACTGGAAGCAAAGGAAGTATCTTCCCTTGCAGTTCAATGGTCAGTATTACTTACTATTACTACTACTAGTTACTGCCACCTAGTGGAGCAAAATGGGAATTCACACTAAGGTTCTACTACCGTACTTCACAATCATATTTTTCATTCCTATGTTTTAGAACGATGAAATAAACGTAGCGATGCACATCATAAGAATTATATTTTATTTGTTTAGATTTGCATAGTACATAAAAATGTGTATGTAAGACAGTCTAAGCTGACCGGATACTTTTTATAATAAGATGAATTTTGTTCT